ATTCATGTAACCCCTCTATTACACAAAGGCCCCAAAATCTTCCAGTTCCGACAAATTGGTACGACCACAGTTACAGGTCTCAAGTTTTCCTAGCCACGGCGTTAGTTACCTAATCCGTTTTTCGAAATTCAATTTTCATCTCCAGTGGGAATTGAACTTGTACTCACCCGCTTGGGGGTGCGACAACTTCACCACTTTACTAAGTCGCCACACCCTACAAATATATATATATTAATTAGATAAAAATAAATTTTATAGTTATATTTACTTATCAGACCTTCATTTATATTATTCTCAATATCATCAAAGATAAACCAGTTATTTGCTAAAGCCATAAGTGCCATGAAAGATCAATTAATACATTGTTTGAAGAGGAAAAATACATGTCTCTACCTCTATTTAACAAATAGCATACTGCAAACAATATATTATAATACCTCAATAAATCCAGATCTATGTTTTTTTAATTGGTTCGTGGACAATATTCTTAAATATTTTATGTACCATTTCTTTTGTTCCTACTCCTATATTTAGTAAGTTTGTATAATTTCTGGCATGCTGAACCATGTGAAAGTTGATGTGCAAATTTAGAAGATTTCAAGTCTTCAAATAACTATGTATATTAATATAATAGACATTAATTAATCATAAAAACAATGCAATATTCAAAGATAAATTTTATCAGATAATTAATTTTTTTTAAAAAAAAACTATAATTAGAATTAATTAATACTCGTGTTAATATTTTTCATTCACTATTTAGATACTCTCACAATTCATCATAATCCTCTTTTATAAAAGACTTCTTAAATGAAACCACCATTATTTTTGATACTATTATCCAACATTTTAACCAAACCTTTATAGCTAAATCTATACATGTAATGTTTAGTTGTTATTGCAGCTTGTAAATCTCAGAGTGCTTAAAATATTAAGGTTTCAATAGTTTGTTAATAATAAAGAGAATACTATTGCCAATCTTAAGCAGTCAAAAATCATAAAGCTATCAATATGAGATATCAGATTTGGCAACTTAGACCAATTGCTTTGATATTTAAATAACTTCCAAATTGAAATAAATGCTGATTTTCCCTCTGTTGAAAAAGCATCAAGTGTTATTTTAAGAAGCCTCAACACTTTACTAGCTATAGCATGATATATATCATATGGTGATTGTAAATAACTTTCCTATTGTAGTTGGTTAAATATTAGTAAACGCAAGCACAACCCATAACTTGAAGCTAATTTTTTATGTTCTGTTATAGTTGATGCTAAAGAAATCTCTTCAAATTGTTCATCTATAAAATGCTGATAATTAGAATTTATAAACAAATCAATATTATCAGATGTTCACAAATTTTTGGCTATATTACAAGTACAACAACCTCTTGTAGCATTATGTCTTTTAACTTCTACCAGATTATTGCCTGTAGCAATTAGAAGTTATATCTTCAAAGCTTGCAAATACAAGGCTTTTATTGCCTTGCACATCTATTATTTTTTCCTTTTTTAAAGTTTTATTTTTAAAACAAAAGGACCAATAAATTTGTTGAAAGAACTATCAAATGGCACAAAACAAAGCACAAAATAGTTCTTAAGCTATTTTTTTGATCAAAAAACATGTTTTCAATTTAAACATAAATACTACCTAATGAGTAATAAATATTGCAAATGTACCGAAGTCATTATAGTAAAGATCTATATATATTTTATAAACTGAAAGACTTGCAGTAGATTCTTTTAATATAGCAAACTCTGAAAGATATTTGTAAGTACAAGCAACTTTTCTTAATTTCTATTTACTGTTGTACTTATATAATATTTCATAGATTGTGATTGAAGAAATATTATTTATATTATTATAATATAGGATTGTAACTATAATATGCCTTATAACTATTTGCAATTCTATAGTTATAATTGTATTATTCATCTCTCGATTCAACATCCATACTTTGCCTCTTATTGATCTTTACTTACGATCATTACTCAACATATTTCTTGAAATATTAGAATGCATTGGATATTGATATAAAGGCTGCTATTTTTTGAACTATTAATAAAATATGGCTAATACTTTTTATAGATCTTGATAAACCACGAAATCTCCAGTGTAATATTTTACTAAACAATTGTAAACATATTAATAACGTGTATTTAAATCAAATAAAATAAATAACAATATAAATATATATATATATATGAAAAGTAAAAAGCAAATCATTATCTTTATTTATAATCGCAAATTCTTGTCTAAATTTTGAAGATTTCTTCCAAATATTGCCATGCCAAAATTTATAATTTCTTGTGATCTCTTGGCCTGGACCAAAGTACATCATACAAAATAATGAAGAGTTGTTAAGAGTATACCAGATAATATTAGAAATCGACAAACAATATCTGTTTTAGTATCTTTTGATGTAGATGGTGTTTTTTTATTAGAAATATAAATTTGATGTGATTTAATTTTAAGTAAAGACAGTCTCTGCCTATATTTTCTGAATCATCTAATGTTCTTTACAATATCTTCACTTTTGAATTGAGGATGATAAATTATATCTACTAAGTCAATATAAGCAAGAGTAGCTAAAAAATAAAAATTAGCAAATAAATATAGTATTTATTATAAAGAATTACTACGCTTAACCAGAGAGAAAATTATCAGTTTGTGTAATATGTAGATCAGATAAACAGATTTTAAAAAAAATTCTCTTCTTTTAGTTTAGGGTAAGGATCGCAACCTGTAATTAAGGTTAGAGCAGGGCATAAATTACATGCAAAATTTAGCAAGGAATTTTTTTGTTAAAACCCAAAAGGAGGTTTCATAAGCGAATTTTTGAGATATTCGTGATTTTTTAAAAAATTCTTTGTTTTTGTCGTACAAAATTAATTTATACGTTATATCTAATTTGCAATTTTATTGGCTAATTACACACTGGTAATTTTTCTCCAGTTAAAATTAGCAATACTCTTTATTATAAATCATTTTAACTTACATATATTATACTTCTGGATCCAGAAAAACATTAATATTTCCATAATATTACTGAAGTATGGTGCAAATTCTCTAGTAATAGATGGTATTTCTTTACTACTTAAAGGCTCATCAACAATTTCTTTGTTAAAATCTTCTTTATTTAATATATTATCTTTGCTTGACAAATCGCCTTTGTTCAATAAATTATTTTCACTAGACAAATTGCTTTTGCTCAACAAATCATTTTCGCTTAAAAAATTTCTTTCACTTAGCAAATCTGCTTTACTTAATACATTGTCTTTGTCTAATACATTACCAGAATCATCATTCAAAATTTTATAATTGAAATCCTTATTATTTGTCTCCTGTTTAACATGATTGTTGTTAGTAGTGTTAGTTCTGGTACTTCTCTTGTTTATTATTTCAAGTGAAGATGTATTAAATATATGAGATAGATGTCTTATATAATTCTGGCGAGGGTTAAAAGAGATATAATGGTTATGAAACATTGTAAGAGAAATAAGATAAATAAGAAAAATTTTAATATAAAAAATGTGATCACAGAAAATATATAAATTGAGTTTATAATTTATTTACAAGCTTACTAATCAGAATGTTATCATATTGATTAGTAATATATATATATTATATTGATATTTTTAAATTAATTAAATATAATTATTAAATATTTCAAAAAAAAAGATAGATAGAACTCTTTATCTTATCTTATTGTCAACAATCTCCAGTAGGTGTAGTATACATAAAATTGCAAAGTTTGTATAAACACATATTATACTTCAAATACTTAATTTATAATTTAAATGTTCAAATTTTAAACCATCAAAATTATTTTGTTTAGTTTCATGATTTAGGTCTGGTACAAATTGACACCTGGGGCATTTATATATTAATCATAATTGTACTGTCATATCTCAAAAGACAATAAATACCAAATATATAATAAATAATGATATATAAAATCAATGCATAAGGTCAAGCAATTATCATTGTTAATAAAATACTAAATTCAGCAAAATCACGTGATTTTACAATTTTTTTTCCTGTCTTGAAATTGTCAGTTACAAGCTATATTTATCATAATTTTTGCATAAAATCCTATAGCAAATAAATAAAGAACTTACTTAATGCTAGATCTATTTTAGCATATGATTTTGTATACATGAAAAACATCGAATTCTTTTGAAAAAAAGAATATAAAAATAAAATTAAAACTTCAATTAAATTCATATGTGCTAGAAAAAAAATATAAATCAATTTAAAATATAGTTATATTAATAAAAATTTGCAGTATAGCTTTTAAAGTTTGTGTTTTTTATGATTTATTTATATGATTTGAATTAATTTTTGATCTTTTTTTTGTCAATTTTATTTTTTTTCTCAGCACCTAGCATATATCTCCTTTGTTACGATATTTTCCAAAAAATCAACCAGTAACTTTAATAGAGTCCCAAGTAGTGTTCCAAAGTTCAGTTCAGTTCAATTTAGATTCAGGTTCAAGTTCAATTGAACTTGAACTGAACTTTAAATTTTGCAGATCTTTAAACCTGAACCTAAACTGAACTTTAAATTTATGAACTTGAACTGAAC